AAGGTAAACAATAGTTACTTCTGTCAATAAGCTTGACCATATTATATATAGACCATTCTCCGGATTCTAGAACCAAATGTGATTCATGTTATTACAGAATGTTAATGCCATATAATTTCATGCTTAGTGAGCCTTGTTCTATGTGACTTCGTTTTAATATGACTAATTTATTTTGGGGAGGAATATATTTGGAAAAAAAACTCTTCCGGGGAGGAATGATCTCAATGAGGCTGAGAAGCACTGCTTTTAGATACAACCCTGTATTTCTCCTCTGACTTCTTTATAGATAATGAAAGACATTTTAAGCTGAAACCTAGAATAGAATGCAGGAAAGAACGAAATGGTACTGGAACGATAGTGATAACCAAATATGGAAGAATATCCATCATAAACGGATTCAATGAAATGGCCTTTACAGGATTAGATGATTTTCAAGATACCTCCATATTTTTTGATATAAAATTTGGCGACATCAAAATTAAACTTGAAGGTATGATGCAAGGGCGTTTCTCACTCCTTTTTGTGCATGTTGTGTTAGGAAGTCGGCCTTATATCAAGGCGTTTGTTTTTACTATGCCATTATCTTGCCGAGACAAAACAAAAAAACGACTTGCCGAATAGTTTTCTGGCTTCGCGTCTTAAATTCAAACAACTTTTGCAATTCAAATATTGTTTAAATATAAGCACAGCTTTATGGAACAATAATCACTGGTTGAAGTTTTGTGCAACATTTCGACGTGTTTTCCCCGTCGTCTTCAAGTACAGAATGATAAGAGATGATGGGCAAACACATATATACATTAATATTTATTATTAAGAACATGTCAAAAGGGCAGCCGTCGCGACACTCGTCAGAATGAGCTAAAAGGATTTGTGACCCAGAATACTTTCAACAAGAATTACGACACATCAAGATTGTATTCTGTTTGAACAACATTTACCCTTCAACCTTTGAAGCTTTTCGATCAATATTGATGGCAAAACCCAACAACCAACAGCCTAATCCCAACAGACCAAGGCATCATACCAAATCAAGAAGATCCGGAAGAAGTCAGTTGATATTGAAACAGTGTTCTTCGGCAACTTAGAGATGTGCTCAGAGCCAAGGGTATATTGAATCTCCCCAACAACCAAAAGCCAAGTAGACGTGTCTAGCAAGTTGAGTGTTTCTGTGGAAATGCATATATAGGAGTCAAATTTGACCAAGACACTGACAATCAATAAGCATATAGATAAAACCAGGAGACTGCATGAAGCTATCAACATCAGAAGATATCATCCTACCCTAAACAGAGATGAAGGTGTTGATTATCGCATGCATTCTATATAATTCAGTTAATAAAATATTTCAACTAAACTATATGTATAGTTATTTTAAAACATTGTAATCTTCAATTAATTATTTTTGATTAATTTACCTTTGTCAATTAATTTATTCAATCAGCATTTGTATGTTTTTATAAGAAATATGTAGCTCTTATCGTAGCTATTAAAAAATATGTAATGTAGGCTTACTAATAAACCATTTCATCTCTTACTTAATAATAAGTATTAATGTAAACAGTGATTGTTGTTCAATAACACTGTGTTTATATATCGTACTTAAAATTGCCACATGCCATTCAAAGATGGGTTCCCTCATTTTCATAGAAAGTAGAGGTGTTTGTTTGTTTGTCTCACATGTCCATAATTAATTCATAATTAGCTAAATTACCAGCAGAATTCCAATGAGCGACCGAAAAGAAAAGTCACAAAGTCTTTTTTGTGTTTATCCAGACTGTATATACATGGACATTTATGATTGGTTAAAACTCATAATTACATGCAATAAGAAAATAATGGTATGATTAAGAATACATGATAATTCAAATAGTTTGTTTAATTTGACACCAAAAAATAAGGAAACCCATCTTTAAAATATGTACATATTTCAAGATAAGCACCTTATTGCACCTATCAGTATCATATTATAAGCATACCATCAATATAGTGTGGTTTTATTCCAGATTGTATGCTGCGACCACTTGGTTCAAACTGTGTCGTCAATGAACATGGTGAAGCTGGTTTAAATGACACCTTTCCTGGAATTCTTTGTAATAAAGAAAAACCGTTTAAACCACATGATTCTGTAAGATTAATTGTGAAAAAACAAGGAGCTGTTTCCTACTGGTTTATGGAATTACTTATAACGAGTTTTGACAACTCATGCGAACAAAAAGAGTCGAAAAAGTCGATCTGGTATTTAAATTCCAAAGAGGGCCAGTTTGATTTCTATATGGATGAAAATTACACTGTTCGTCATAATGGATCCGACATATTCACGTTTAAGGACAAAGTGCCTTTAAAGTTATGGTTTAAAATATTCAGAGCAGAAGTAACAATGCAGACACTCGGTGAAAACGATGCACGTAAGATAAACATTTATTTTTGTGAACTGCTAAGGTGTAGCTTAGAGAGTGAGACTTGCAACATGCATCTAGAACTGCTACTTTTTTCACAGCAACCAAAATTTCCTCAAGATATTAACGAGCAAAATTGAATCCACGTCTTCGTGTATATGAGTCGCCTTTAAGGTTTTCTTCAATATCTCTATCCCTACTAAACTACCATGTACCCAATACCCATCTTTCTTTTTAGTTCCATATTCCTATTTAATTACAACGTGTTCTATCTCAACACTGCTATAATTCTATATTCCTTTTTGATTATAACGTCCATAATTCCATATTCCTTCTTAATACCAACCTCAGATAGTTCCATATTTCTACTTAGTTAAAACCTCACATAGTTCTGTATTCCCAGATAATTTACTTCACACAGTTCATATTAACAATGTTTTCAGTTCCATATCCCTTTTTAATAACAACCTCATATAGTTCCCTATTCCTTGTAAAATACAACCTCACATAGTTCCATATTCCCACATTCATATAATTACAACCTCACATAGTTCCATGTTCCCACATTCATATAATTATAACCTCACATAGTTCCATATTCCCACATTCATATAATTACAACCACACATAGTTCCATATTCCCACATTTATATAATTACAACCTCGCATAGTTCCACATTCCCACATTCATATAATTACAACCCCACATAGTTCCATATTCCCACATTCATATAATTACAACCTCACATAGTTCCAAATTCCCAGATTCATGTAATTATAACCTCACATAGTTCCATATTCCCACATTCATGTAATAACAACCTCACATAGTTCATATTCCCACATTCATATAATTACAACCTCACATAGTTCCATATTCCCACATTCATATAATTACAACCCCACATAGTTCTAAATCCCCACATTCATATAATTACAACCCCACATAGTTCTAAATTCCCACATTCATGTAATTATAACCTCACATAGTCTTATTCCCACATTCATTTAATTACAACCTCATATAGTTCCATATTCCCACATTAATATAATTACAACCTCACATAGTTCATATTCCCACATTCATATAATTACAACCCCTCATAGTTCCATATTACCACATTCATATAATTACAACCTCACATAGTTCCATATTCTCACATTCATATAATTACAACCTCACATAATTCCATATTCCCACCTTCATATAATTACAATCTCACATAGTTCCATATTCCCACATGCATATAATTACATCTTCACATAGTTCCTTATTCCCACATTCATATAATAACAACCTCACATAGTTTCATATTCCTACATTCAAATAATTACAACCTTACATAGTTACATATTCCCACATCCAAGTTATTACAACCCCATAGTTCCAAATTCCCACATTCATGTAATTACAACTTCACATAGTTCCATATTCCCACATTCATATAATTACAACCTCACATAGTTCCATATTCTCACATTCATATAATTATAACCCCAAATAGTTCCATATTCTCACATTCATATAATTACAACCCCTGATAGTTCCATATTCCCACATTCATATAATTACAACCTCACATAGTTCCATATTCCCACATTCATATAATTACAATTTCACATAGTTCCATATTCCCACATTCATATAATTACAACCTCACATAGTTCCATATTCCCACATTCATATAATTAGAACCTCACATAGTCCCATATTCCCACATTCATATAATTACAACCTCACATAGTTCCATATTCCAACATCCATATAATTACAACCTCACATAGTTCCTTATTCCCACATTAATATAATTACAACCTCACATAGTTTCATATTCCCACATTCATATAATTACAACCCCACATAGTTCCATATTCCCACATTGATATAATTACAACCCCACATAGTTCCATATTTCCACATTCATATAATTATAACCTCAGATAGTTCCATATTTCTACTTAGTTATAACCTCACATAGTTCTGTATTCCCGGATAATTTACTTTACACAGTTCATATTTACAATGTTTTCAGTTCCATATTCCTTTTTAATAATAACCTCATATAATTCCCTATTCCTTGTAAAATACAACGTTACATAGTTCCATATTCCCACATTCATATAATTACAAACTCACATATTTCCATATTTCCATAATTACAACCCCACATAGTACCACATCCCCACATTCATATAATTACAACTTCACATAGTTCTATATTCCCACATTCATATAATTACAACCTCACATAGTTCCATATTCTCACATTCATGTAATTACAACCTCACATAGTTCCAAATTCCCACATTCATATAATTACAACCTCACATAGTTCCATATTCCCACATTTATATTATTACAACCTCACATAGCTCCATATTCCCACATTGATATAATTACATCCTCACATAGTTCCTTATTCCCACATTCATATAATTACAACCTCACATAGTTTCATATTCCTACATTCAAATAATTACAAACTTACATAGTTCCATATTCCCACATCCATGTTATTACAACCCCACATAGTTCCAAATTCCCACATTCATGTAATTACAACTTCACATAGTTCTATATTCCCACATTCATATAATTACAACCCCACATAGTTCCATATTGTCACATTCATATAATTACAACCCTGATAGTTCCATATTCCCACATTCATATAATTACAACCCCACATAGTTCCATATTCCTACATTCATATAATTATAACCTCAGATAGTTCCATATTTCTACTTAATTATAACCTCACATAGTTTCATATTCCTACATTCAAATAATTACAAACTTACATAGTTCCATATTCCCACATCCATGTTATTACAACCCCACATAGTTCCAAATTCCCACATTCATATAATTACAACCTCACATAGTTTCATATTCCCACATTCATATAATTGCAACCTCACATAGTTCCATATTCCAACACTTTTACAACGTTAAAGAGTTCCATATCCATTCTTAAAGATGGTTTCCCTTATTTTCATTTATGAAAAAGAAAATGCTAACACCTATAAGTTGAGGTGTTCAAATGACATGGATAAATACCATTGTGTCTCACTGGTCTAATGTTCATAATTCATAATTAGCTAAATTTGAAGATAATTGCCAGCAGAATTCCATTGAGTGACCTATCAAGAAAGATCAAAAAGTTTTTTTTTTTTTGTTTATTCAGACGTTCAGATATTACTCATACATGGCCTTTATAATAAGTTAAAACTTTTTTACATACATGTGATATAATTAAGAATATATGATAATTCTTTAGAAATACCGACTAATCAAATAGTTTGCTTAATTTGACACTAAAAAAATGAAAACCCATCTTTAATTACAACGTTACGTCTGCAAATTATGTTTATGTTCACCATTGGTTTCATTCTATTTTTTAATTTTTATTTTGCAGTTGGTCATTATAATAGACATGGTAAATCTCCCAATAATGTTAATCCTGACGATAGTCATGCATCGAGTTCTTCTGCTGGCCAACATTCTGTGGACCAAACACATACAAAACAACTTTTCTGAGAAGAAAATTTGACTGTTCATGCTTGTACACATTCTAAAATTGGAACTTTCACTCGTGAAACATTGGAAACAAACCGAACTGAAACAGAAATTTCAAAAAACCACTGGAAGAATGTCTAGTGTACAATGCTTTTAATACGCCCACATTGAAATGTGGACGTATATTGCCGTCGCCCCTGTCCGTCCGTCCGTCCGTCCGTCGTTCACATTTCTTGTAGGTGCGATAGAGGCTACAGTTTTATCCGATCTTGATGAAACTTGGTATTCATGTATATATTGATGAGATCTCGATCAAGTTCGAAATTGGTAATAATCAGATGAACAGTTTCAGAGTTATTGCCCTTGACTTAGTAAAAACTCGTCAAATTTGACTTGTAGGCATGATAGAGACTACAATTTTTATCCGATCTTGATGAAACTTGGTATGCATCTATATTTTGATGAGATGTTGGTCAAGTGCGGTAATAAACGGATGAACGGTTTCAGAGTTATTGCCCTTGACTTAGTAAAATTTTGTCAAATTCGGCTTGCAGGCACGATAGAGACTACAGTTTTTTATCCAATCTTGATCAAACATGATGAGATCTCTGTCAAGTTAGAAATTGGTAAAAATCGAATCAACAGTTTCCGAGTTATTGCCTTTGTGTTTACAGCGATGAGACATTGTTCATGTTTCAATTTCATGATAACTTGATGAACTGTTTCAGGTTTTTGCCTTGTCTTAGGAATGATTTTAAGATTATTTGAAAATTTATTATTAAGCCACTAAAGATTTTGTTATCATTCTGACAGCTGGTAGTGGGCGTATGTTACCTTGCCTGGCAAGCTATCTTCTGGAATTGTTGTCAGTAGATTATCTACAAAACAATTTTCAGCCAGTCAAGAGCCACTTTATGTGGTTGCGTTCTGAGTTATATATAATATGTAAAAGAGAGTTGTCTCTCTGTAGTAGTGATTAGAAAGTGTGCTTGTAGTTAAGACGAAACTTGAAACGAAAACTACAGAAAACGACCACAAACTATTTTGCGATAAATTCTAAGCAAGGTAATTAAACTAAACAAGTTATTGATTAAAAAAAAAAATATGCATTTGGGGAAGTGAATTAGAGTGATCATTCCTTGATATTTTTTTTATTACATTCATGTCTATTATTATTTTCCTGTTTCTTCTTTTTAAGCTCTTTTTTAAGAAATTTAAGGGAATAAGGCTACCGTTCATGATTTTTACTACCAGTTTTATGTCTCTAAAACGAAATTTAGCATATTTGTTGACTATTTACAAACTTCATGTATCAGAGTGTCTCTTTAAACTATATAAACACTATAAAATGTTATATGTATTAACAATGTTTTATATTAAACTGAATCAGGTGTGAGTTATGTGCGTTAAATCACAGACGAAATGCACCCAACTAGGAAATATGAAAGACGTCTCGCAAAAATAGGTCAAGTGCACTTTTCCCAAGCACATTTTCCTAAAAAGAAGTACATGTTCGGCCAGATTGGCATGCTTAGAACTCATATCAACATAGTTTAACGTCGGTTCCTGGTCGTTTCACGTTTTCGTCGGTTGTTTCATGATTTAGTAAGTACGTTAAAGAACATAATTTTTAATAATTTTGAGGTGCAAGTGCCCAAACGAACCCCGTGATGTGACAAAGAAAGACGAGTGACCTACTGTTTCCAGATTGCGACCAGAGAAATCAAAGCAGGACAATAATAGTTCAATGACTAATTTGATTAATATGTGTGAAACTGATGATTTTTTTCAATCTTTGAATGATTATTTTAATGATATAGAAAATGTACAGGATGTATCAGGTTACAACTCAGATAGTTCTATCGTGAACTGTACATTCAAGTAATTTGCCAGATATAATAAGATATAATAAGGGTGTATTTGTTCATATTATGTACTTAAAGGGGTATTCCGCCATTTTGTCAAAAGCTTTCATTATCAAAAATGTCGAAAATTATACCTGAAAATATTTGCAATTTATATATATGTATCTTATTGATCAACCGATTTTATTTTAATTTGAAATTAAATAGATTGACCTAGTTTTAGTGTTTGGCTTTATAATGGCTCAATATTAATAGTCAAAAGATGTGAAACATTATCTTGTTTTTGAAAGGTTGTAAAATCGGAAGTAGAAGTCAGACATCAAATATGTATCACCAAGCAATATCTCATATATGAATATTTGCTTACCTCATGTTAAAACTATGTGGTATTATGTTGTTTGTCTATTCATCTCTGTATAATTATTATAGCTAGTTAAATTTACCCATAACATAGTGTGAAAGAGAGGATTATCATCTTAATTAAGCTGATTTAGATATAAGGAGAGATTAGTATTTAATATAATTAATTACAATTAGTAACCTGCCCTTATTAAGTTTTAAGCCAATGGTTGCATTGTTTAGGTAGCAACCGGGATAGGGCTATATAAGACCCAAAGATATGTGGTCTAAAAAAAGAAAGATGTATTAAAAACTAGAATATCAACTGTAAATATTGTATATATATATTAAACCTATTACACCTGTTATATGAATAAGAGTTCTGTTATTCTATTAACCACGAGACAATCAGAAACCTATTATCAATATAGAGCTAAACACCCCCACGTACATCAAGATATTGATATATTCAGCGATTGGTCTTATATGAAAGATCAATGACCTTTAACCGTGTTAAGGGAAGGTCAACAAAGGTCTAGGTCGCGAGATGTCAGTCATCAAACTTTGAAATACAAACGGTATAAAACCACAAGTTAAAATATGAAGGTATTAGTCTTTAAGCAAGGTCAATGACCTTCGATCCTACAAAGGTCAAGGTCCTTTAGAGTCGAGGTCAAAAATTGAAAATATGTTCCTTTTTTAAGAAGGTGAAACAACTTTACACACATTGGCCAAGAGGGTGTGGTAATTGTGTGCAATGTTCTTTTTTGAACAAATATATTGTATGCAAGTTATAGTCCTGCACATAAATATACATAATAAGTAATTTGACCCGGATGTGCCACGCCAATCTCGAATTTTTAGTCATAAGTTAATTTATATATAAAATGTATACTTGTATTCCGAATTTCAAGCAAATAGGTCATCATAAGATATACATACAAACAGAAGGGAAAATATTGTAAAAACACTCAAATTTAAAAAAAATCACGAATTTGAATTTTGCATTAAAAAACTATTGTTATATCACTGGAAAGAACATGAAGAGCAAAAATTATTCCTCTAGGTTAATTAGGTCACGAGCTAGAGCAGTCTAAAGTTGCGAATTTGTCTGTTTTCGGACAGTGGGTGTCGGATTTCAAATGTCAAAGTATCAACTGATAGTCATCGTCAATGACCTTTGACCTTATTAAGATCAAGGTTATTAAAAGTCAAGGTCACGAAATGAAAAAGTAAGAAAGAATTTGCAAAAAAGCAAAAGCGAAATTAAATAGTTTTTGTGAGAAATCGATTGCAGATTACATACACATCAAAATTATGCGCGTCCGATTCTTAGGTCCCATTTTGAGTTTTATAAATGTCGGTCATAACAATATGGCGGCCAAAGTGTCACTTCCGGTCTGGATTTTAAAATCGGCTGTAGAATTTTGATGGCTACCGATCAGCATAATTTCAAAAATTTATAATTTATCAAAAACACCGGAAGCTATTTAACCTGAAGTTAAAATCGATTTCACGTTTAAACCGGAAGTGAAGCAAATAATTTGACTGTACCATAATGTTTACTTTAGTGATCTGTCTTTACGTAAGAAATTTCATATTAATCGGACAAAAAGCAAAAAAAAAATTTAGGTCAAAAATTGCAAATTTCGTCTGAAAAGTGTGCGACAAATTTTCGAATTATGAATTCCGCTTTCATATCAGATATTACATGAAGATTCCAAAATTGAAAATCCGAAGAAAATCGATCCAAAAATTCGACTACTAAAGCCGATTCTTTACTTTTTGCAAATTTGGTAATGAGCAAATATCGGCTTTGCAAAAATGTTCCAATTTATATTCATTAACAACGTTGCCACTACAGAAGGTCAACAAATGTAGAAATGTTGTTTCAGTTGATAAAGCCTCGGCTGTGTGCCCTGTGGAAAAATCGAAAAAAAAAAATTAAAATATGATAACAAACGGGGAAGCAAATACCATTGATAGTCATACATAACCCTATAGAGGAGTTTTTAGTAAGTGAGCCTATTAATAATGAAGCTGTAGATGTGCCTGTTCGTGGTGATGCATCTAAATTTTCTCAGTTTAAATGAATGTATACTTGGCCATAGATTCTCAGAAAATTATTAAATGAAAATCCGAAGCCCATAAAAGTAATCCATGAATGATCATATCATTAACTCGTATTGTTTGTCACATATCTTCAATAAAATATATTTTTCAGAGTTTATATTTTGAGACATGAGAAGCTTGAGACCAAGAGTGCGACTGGGTGTAAGTTTTTTAGTCTTTCACTCAAGGGCAAACCACCAAATGTCAACTAAAATATGTAGAACAAATTTCCTGACCAAAAGATATAATTTATATTAAAACCAATCTCCCAACTCGATTTACGTTAAAGTTACACCCAGAAACGCTATCGTTAGAACTGTGTGAAAAATGAAATATGTTTTAAAACGCGGTCAAGATTATATCGACAGCCATGTTGGCTCTCATTTTTGGAATATTCCTTCCTTCTGTTGCAGCAGGTACACAGGTAGTTCACAATTTCTTACACACTTATATTTCTCAATGCGTTCCTCTCAAATCTTCAGTATGCTTTAAATAAGCATGTAATATTTCTGTATTCTTAAATTTTATTAACAAAAGAATGTTAGTCTTGGAACCTGTCATAAATGATTAACTAAATAACTGTTTCTTTTTTACCTCCAAATTACTGTAAATGTCTTCATATATTGTGCAAAACCCACCGCCTAAATATAAAGAGATGCAATATTTTTCAGTGGAGTGAACTAGGTACTGGAGTAGCGTATCGGGACTATGGCTATGGAAGTGAGTTCAATCTTTGTCTATGACAAATAATTTATGGACAACTAGATTATTTGTATAAATGGTTCATTGGTGCAGAAATCGATACTTATTGTCCCGGAAATGTGAATGAAAAATTACGATATCAGATTACGGACAGAATCAGTCTATTTATACTAAATATTTAGGAAGCTCGCCGAATATTCTGAACCGACAATGCTAAATGTAAAATATTTGTATCGTTGACTCGAATTAAAATGTAGATAATTATAAAAAGATATAATTGTCATTTTTTTCAGACAATGTTCTCATTGCTTATGCTGGGTGGAGTGTATCAGATACATTAGCACGACATTGGGTCGATAGATTGGTAACTCATTCAACATTACGATCACTAAATGTAGGAAAAGTTTACGCTGTCAAAGGTCCCAATGATTCTTTGTACAGAACTAAGGAAATTGGAAATTCTAGACTCATTTCGTAAGTAACTCAGCAAAATTTAACTAATTTTAAGGAAAACCTGTATATGTATCCGGTAACTCAAGAGTGTCTCAGAGGGGAAAATGTTTCAAAGGCATGGCATTTAAGTCAGTTAAAATTTTTTGGAGGGAGGGGTCTGAGTATACGTTTGGATTTTCACCGGTTTCACTCTGTCAGAAATGACACAATTGCGTGAATACATCTTGACTACACACTGGTTAACTGTGCTGTTCATTGTTCATTGTGTAGTCGGTGATGGCGTCTTTTCCCTCGTTTCCCACACGTCTTTTTCCATCTTCATTCTCTTTTTTTTAATATGTTTCTTTCCTTCTATAAACATTTGTTATTCTAGCCATCTATTAGCTAACCGAAATCCAAAAATGATTATGGTAGCTGCCCACTCTAGTGGTGCATTTGTAGCCAATGAATTTTTCCAATAACTCTACGATAGAAATATGGATAGTTCTCATCAAACTGATAATAAAGTAGTATATTTCAATCTTGATGGAGCAGGTATCTAAACATTCAATATAATAATTTCAAAATTTCGAAAAGTGTCGAGTTTCCGTTTTACCACTGTAACCAGAGCACCACAACTCACAACAGTTATCAGTTTCATTTTCTACATCAGCTGGAAAAGTGAGCTTTGGAGGAAAAATAAGCGATGTCTATGAAAACTGAATGAATGAATATCTAACCTTATTCTTCCTTTAAAGGTGGATTGAGTTCTGCGGCGAGAGTAAAATTGCATAAAGAATATTTTGTTTATGCTAAAGTAGGATCTCTTTACTCAAGAAATGCAATTAAGTACTTTTTGTTACATTTCATTTCATAATGTACAGCATTTTGGTCATTTGTATTTAATTTGCATATAACTTCAAATAACTGCAGCGCAAACTCTGTAGCCATAATCTTATACTAAATACACCAAATCATTAGGTTATTATAATGAAATACCATCAATTCTGTGTTACTCCTCATGTGTATTTCAGTTCTGAAACATAAATATTCTGTCGAATTGTGATTTCAGATACAATGAGATCGCTTGGACACGGAGATCAACTGATAGAATTAGATGGCTCAGCTTCGCAATGCCGCCATTACAACTGTCTACACGACGTCATGATTATACATCATCCATGGGATCCAATGACCTTTGATCTCGTTTGGGATTATAGTTTGTTTTCCTTAGGTGATAGGGAGGTGCAAATTGGGTATATCACAAAAGTGCTAGGGCAGTTGTCAGCACTGGCTTAAATCTATGTGGATGACATCCACGTATTAAACACTCATATATCTTTATTGTAGATTAAAAAAAAAATCAAAATATTTATTATTACACATTAAGTAATACATTGTCGGTACATCCTGTAAAACTTCATAATAATTGAAAGTTAAAATTTGATTCTGGCCATCACCAAAGACTGTCTAATGCTATAACGCTGTGTGCTTGACTTTTGGCTCTCGTTCTACCCTAAAAGCTCGACGTATGACAATTTTTATGAGAGGCTTTCCCTGTAACTAAACTTGGTGAAAACAGTAGCCTACGAAACATCTATTATTAGTCAAATTTTCTTTGTAATTTTGTATGGTGTTCAATAAATGTTTATCACCATATCGTACAATCCATATTACTTTGACGAAGCGGTACATCAACAAAATGCCTCTTGATACACAAAGTATTCTTAGTCTTAGATTAAAATATATGTCTAACCCCATACCTCTGTTTTAGTAAGACTTATGAGAATAAAAATCAGAAACATCTAGGTTTAAGTTATGATTTCAAATATGTCTGATTTGAAAATGCGTTTTTTACCGCTGAATTGACAGTTTTACTGTACATGTGATATACATATGGATTCAACGATGATTTTGGATACCCCATCCATTCACAAGAACTAAGTTCGAGAAACTTCGAATGACGTAATTGCAGAGATGATGAAAAACTTTACTGTGGCACTGTGGACAGTGCTTTCCAACACAGTTCCTCACATTTGAATGAATTTTAATGAACACACTAATGCCAAACGAAGCAATCAAATTATCAATTTACATAAAGATAAGTCTTCGATAGAGTTTACTGATAGTGAGATAGCGATCAGCAGGCAGAACAGGTATTCCTATTGAACATCGCGGCAACAGACACTTCAATATTGGAAAAGACAAAAATATTAAATGCCATTGCAACAGCACCAACCAGTGTATCTGCACAAGCGAAGGATACGATAAGAATGATGGTCCTCTTAATCGAAGCATAGAGTGTAGATGTATGTGTTCTGTACATTATCATGTTAATAATTGAACATATTATTACACCATTACTGATCACCGTCAAGACAAAGACCTAACTTTGCTAAATGACCCAATTTTTCCCAATTGTTTCGTCTTTTCCAAGAGCTGAAAAAAAAACAAGAAACCAAATGAAAAATAATTACCGACTTGACCTGTGATCAGCGCCAGGTATGGCAACGAGAACTTATCCCATGGATTTTGAACTTTTGAAACTTCTACAAATGTCTCCGCAATATTCTCAATTTGTAAAAAATAATGGAACTAATTCATGCCGCATCACGATAAACCTCTCCAATTATCCAATTGACAAAAACAACACACATAGATAATCAGATCTGTAATCCCTGATAGGATTTTGATCATGTGACTTTTGTAGACCATTCCTCTCATCAAATTTTGTTGACGAGTTCACTTCTAGACAAGCCAATGACAGTCTATAAAATGGAGGGTTTTTGTTTAAAGAAAGTGTATTCTTCAATATACACCGTCTGTTTATAATAGATACTCTCCTTTAGAAACACTTGCATATTTCTAATTAAGATAGAAAAAGAAGTCCAACGGTTTGAATTGCGAATTCACAGCTTAAAATTGAGGCATACACACAAATTTTGCAAGATTTTTTAAGGGTTTAAAAACACTTAACACCTGTCAATAAACTTTTTGATTGTTTAAAAACACTTAACACCTGTCAATCAACTTCACACTAAGGATAACATATATATTATTCAGAGGTAAAACCAGAAAATTTCGATTTTTTAAACATTTATCAAAATCTAATGATTTGAATTTTTATAACAAGCCCACATCGTTAAAGAGGGAACATTGAAATTATGAAAACTGCATTGATGTGGGATAAATACTTTTGTTCAAGAAGTGATCATGCATTTTTGTAATATATCATCGAAAAGAGAATATTAAGGTCATTAATAATCTGAAAAAATAATTCTTTCCTGCCTCTATAATAAATGCAAGATTATTTGTTCCACTTGGCCACTTTTCATCGATATTATCCTTGGCGTGTTCTTTCAAATAAAACAAAAATAATTTTTGAGGAATTATTTTTCCAAGTCAAAAGTTACTGTGAAAATTCTGATTTTCGAGTCAAAAGGAGTGAATTCATGGAATTCAATCCGCCATAAAGTCTGATCCTTTGGGACTTTTCTCGGGGAAGTCAACTAGACTCGTACTTTCAAATAAAACGAATATAATTCCTTTGTGAATTTTCGTGTCGTGAAAAATGCGAGTTCTCCTACCAGGCTAAATGTGGATATTCCCTACAAATTTCGGCTTTGTAAAATCTAGAAATATATTTGGATATGAACACTTTTCGTGGAGTGGTCCGTATATAATGTATTAAAAATTTCTATTTTTTTTTTCAGTAACGGTTTTAAATTAGATAAATATGTTTTTTCAAGCCCTAGGGTCTAATAATAGTAGTTAAATTGGGTTACTTAGTTATATTGCCTATACAGAGTAAATCGCTCATATTTCATAACGTATTAGTATTACCTAACATATGGCAGATATTGGAGTTTTTCACAAATGCCAACTTTGTAACTGTAAGGACAGAAATTTGGACATGAATATTTTTTGTGCCGTGGTCTGGTATATTAAGTTCCATTTGTTTTAAAGTAAATTTCTTTATTTGGTTTTATGAGTTTTTTCCAATTCCCTGTCTGGGGTCTAATAAGTAGGAAGAGACCAAAACTATTCGTGAATATGGCCTAAAAGAGGAATATATCATTTATTTCCTTACCTATTTCCTTAACTATGACAGTTAATTCTTACATGTTTAGACAGCCAATGTTCTATGGCGGGGGAAACCGGCAAAAACCTAATGCTATGCTCAAATGTCTAATTCAAAACACAAATGTAATATAATGCAATAACAAATACCTAAAACGTCTTATGCAAAAGATAACATACAAGAAATCTCTGATACAAAATACCTTATACGTTAAATGCAAAATACATTAAACAAGAAACCTCTAATACAAAATACATATTACCTCTAATGCACAATTGATTTTACAACGTGAAACATCTACCATAAGCATTAGACGACATATCTCGTTTGCATTACCTACATTTCTTCACTGTAATATCTTTATTTAGGTCAATGTCAAGGTCGAAGTATTTTCTAATCGATACAATAGTTTCTCCCAAATTAAGGGGGATAACACTGGCACCAAAAATTTCATTCATAATTCCTTAGAAGACCATCGGAAAAATTGGCCATTTATCAAAAATTGGCCATGTATAGGGTTCGTTATTGACTGGCCAGTAACACAGTTAGACATGAAAATAAAATTATATTGGAATTTTAGCGATATTCACAGGTCTGAAGGCACCATGTGATTGAGTTTGTGCCAATTCCATTCAAAAATCTGCCCCACCCCCATTACTGTGGACTGTGCAAAAATTGGCCATGTAGGGGCTTTGTCTTTGACTGGCCAGTCCTCAATATTGGATATCCGTCACTGGCCATATTATAGAAATTATAGGAATAAACAGCATTTCTCCCCATTGTACACTTGAATATTATTATGTCAGATTGACATCTTAGGACTTCACTAGCACCAAAAATTTCATTTATAATTCCTTAGCAGACCATCGGAAAAAATTGGCCATTTATCAAAAATTGGCCATGTATAGGCTTCGTCATTGACTGGCCAGTAACACAGTTAGGCATCAAAATAACATTATGTTGCAATTTTACCGATATTCACGAGTTTGAAGGCACTATGTGATTGAGTTTGTGCCAATTCCATCCAAAAATATGCCCCACCCCCATTACTGTGGACTGTGCAAAAATAGGCCATGTAGGGGCTTTGTCTTTGACTGGCCGGTCCGCCATATTGGATATTCGTCACTGGCCATTTTTTAGCAATTGTAGGAATAAAAAGCATTTCTCCTCATTGTACACCTTAATATGTTAGATTGGCATCTCAGGACCTCAATGGCACCAACAATTGCATTCATAATTCCAGGAAGACCATTGGAAAAAATTGACCATTTTCCAATATCCATATTGGAACTATGTAATGATTCTATTTATTACACGACTTTTAGAGGCTTTATTTGAATAAGAAATGAATTACAAATTTTTCGTTTTTTGATTTAATTACAATTACAATCAATCCAAAAA